TATGAAAAATATAAGGGGATAGGGTACTTAATATGTTGGTGTTATCTTGAATGACTGAGGCCAACCATCAGAGCTGTCACAACCCCCTAACAGAAACACAAAAACCCTGGTGCAGATTTCTGGAACACCGAGCTACACTAAAAAAGCAAGTTGGTTGATCTGTAATGTTCCCCAGGAAACCATTAGAGAAAGTACACCATAGCGTGGAGTGACGATGACGACGATGCAAACGAAGGAATTTTAGTCAGTGAACAGGTGGCAGTGCAGGCACCAAATCCTAATTTGTGTGAAACTGGAACTCTGTGGTGGAAGGTGGAAAAGGTGTGGCGACCTGAGAACAGGAGAACCATACTGGAGTGGGAACAGGATGCCAACTGTGGGGTGTAAAGTGGGGAGGGGGACTCATCGCCATAGCAGCCTATACTGCTGCTGCAGCAAGCAAGGGAACCAGGGAGGGCAAAGGCTGTGGAAGAAACACCCTGGAACCAGGGCAGAGCAAGTGTCCAATCTGGAGAGTGAAAAGAAGGATTAGGAAAAGAGGAGAAATAAAACAACAAACATAGACTGGGGCCAGAGGTGTAGTGGGTTGGACATTTAACCATAAATGGAAAGAAAAAGGAGGGGAAGGAAGAGAGCAGAGTGAGTGGGATTGGGAGAAGAGAGGAAGGGAGGAACTGGAAATGAAGTGTCTGCATCTAATCAGACTTCCAGGGAGGGTTGGTGACATCAGAATACAAGTACAGAGAGACGGTTGTTTTCCATGGAGAATTTGAGGTTGAAGAGCTGCCTGGTTTTGAAAAATTGAGAAATTGACTCCTGTCCTGTCTTGGAGGAGAAGGGAGTGGCAAAGGTAAAGTTTTAGCAATGCAGAGTGTGAGAGATATCTCTTGGAAGTTGTGAATTATAATAATAATTATACATGATTGTAGTATGAGTTGCTCAAAATTTTCAGGGAAAAATTGTGAGATGGTGACACACAGGCAGTGCCACACATGCACAACAACAAAGCGAGAATTGAGTGTAAAAGGGTGCCCTGGTGGGCATTTAGACTGCATTCTGCTCACTCCACGCTATTCAACCACAGAAGATACTTACTTGCTTTTTACATATATAAAGTTTCCCTAACTCAGCAGTTTTATTATGGGGGTTCTTACATAAAGTCAAATTTACAGTCATGTCTTACATAACTCGGGGGTTGGGTGTATTATTGTCATTTAGATTCTGCCTGCTGTACGTCTTTTTTAAAATACATAATCATTCTGAAAAAAAAAAAGAAATTAAGCCTTTTACCCATTTCAAAACTTCCATCAATGAGTCCAATGTGGGAACTTGAGAGGTCAAATCTTCTCTCTATCTGTGTTATGGAGCTCTTCATGTATGTACCCGACAAGGCTTTGGAAAAATAGGCAAAGGACAGTGCCACAATGAACATCTAGGAAACAGCAAGAGAAAACCATTAAAGCACACAGGCAACAAGCAGTTTGGGTTTATTTACTGAGGTGGCGGGGGTCAGTGGGACAAGACGTGAAAATAAAGGCCACACATTGCTCTTCAGCGCTCTCTGCTCACAAACTGTCATCGGTATGGAGACAGAAATGATGATTTGGCTTCTGTGTCTAGGAAACAGGGGGCGAAATAATGCCTAGCCTGTTGATTATTATTTATGATTTAATGGTGATTGTTGTTCTTGAGCTCAGACTTGTCCCTGGATGTGTCTTTGGTCAGGAACCTTCCTAGAACCTGTGTCTCTGCTGTGAGCCGCCCCACACAGCATCCTGTATATGAAACGCCAGATCATCTTGCACATAAAAACGAATCAAACATGCTTTGTCAAAAATCATGCTTTGTTAAAAGCATCAAGAGCTTTCTTTTTAAAATTGAAATCAACGTGCCTCAGATGATTTTTTTCCTAATGTAACATACGTTTTCTTGTGAAGGCCTTCTTTCAGGTTTTCATTCTGTATATTCTAGATATAGATTTTCAGATTTTTTTCTAGATTTTCAGAATAATTTGAATTAATGTCTCTCTGCTAGTTTTTGTAATATTCATTTACCCTTCATTCTGTATATTCACTTTTTTGCATTTTCACTGTGACCTGTTGTAGCTTGGGATCTCTGGAATGGCACTCACCATGAAAAAGCACATTAAAGTTGAAAATTGGTTGATTTTTATTTAATTCATATTCTAAGAACTTTGTTGGCATGACCGATGAATTACAATGTCGCTAAAGCAGAAACAACAAACAAAACATTCCAAAAACCTTATAGTGAGACAGGCTTATTTTCTGTTCCTCATGCTGTGACAGGAGATCATATACTGGGTTGTCAGCTCTATTTAATCTCCCCCCCCCTCAAGATCCCCCAGGAGGACAGATGCTGTTCTGATTCTTGCAGGTGAGGGAACACTGGTATTCTATTCATTATTTTAGGGAGGAATGTTTGTCTAATCCTGGAGTATTTCTTGCAGTTCAGCACAAAGTGCATCACTGTTTTGGCTTCTCCCTGCTGGCAGGGAATCATATAAATGTCATTGCCTGTTTATTTTCTCACAGAGCTGTACCTTTAATTTTGAACAGCAGGCTGTTTTGGTCTTCATGTCTGTGTTGCAAATCCTTTCTTTATTGGTGAGCTTTTCACCATCCAGTCCTGAAGTGCTACCCATTTTCTTTCCCAGAGGTCAATGTCTGTGCGACGTGTTCTTCCCTAGTGCCACCTTCAAAATACCTACTAAGAATATAAAACATTAGGTCATTAGGTTTAACAAAGCTGTGCATCACAGCCCATGTAAGATAAGTGGGATTAATGTCACCTGCTCTAGGGCTGGACTCATTCATTTGCAATGTTATGTTCTCCTTTGAAAAAAAAAATATTGACTGTGGCTGCATGGTCAGTATCACCATCTTAGAATGGTAAATGTCAGACAAGTGAAGTGCATGCAGTATCTACTGTAGCTGTTGGTGCTACATGGACTTCACAATGTGACATCTTCATGCTATATATTAGATTTATTTACACCTTCGTGAGGCATTTTGAAAGTAAATAAAATCTGAAGCATTTGGGGTCTGGAACAAAACAACTAAGTGAGATCACTTACTGTAGCTACAAGCAACTAAATGAGATAGATGGGCTAATTGCTTTTTCTCTATTAACTTAATTCATTAACTAAGATATTTGACTGATCATCATCCAAAGCCTATCCCAGCAAACAACAAGAGCAAGGTAGGGCACACCCTGGACAGGACTCCAGTCCATTGCAGGGCAGACACACAGACACAAACAGAGGCATTCCCACACTCACACCAGGGTCAGTTTTCCCAGAAACTAATTAACTTACCTGGACGATTTTGCACTGTGTGAGGAAACCAGAGCACCTGGAGGAAGCTTGCACAAACATGGAGAGAACATACAAACTCTATGCAGATAACACCCCAGGTCCAGAACTGAGCCCAGGGCCCCAGCACTGCAAGGCAGCAATAAAAACCACTGCACCACTCTGCTGATCCCAAAACAGCTTACACTTGTTCTTATTTATACAGCTGTATATTTTACTTGAACAATTTGTGTAAAGTACATTGCTCAATGGTATAACAACAGTGTCACATCTTCTGTAGGTTTTGAACCCACAAATTGCCAGTTAGGTTTCCATTGTTTCTAATCATTCAGACAAACCGTTACAAAGGCAATCAGTAGTTTTACAGATAAAGAACAAAATTACAGGTCTCCATGAAAGTGGGCAGGACTGTTTGTGACATAAATATTCCATACAGTAGTCTGGCAAAAAGCTATTCACTTTTCCAAACCCATTGTTTGGGAGATAACAAAGGTTTCTCACCTTTGGAAGCATTTTTATCTTAAATAGAACTGCAAAAACAGGAAAAGGAAGAATGCAATGTGATCAATGGGAGACATCATGGGAAGAGCTCAGGTTCTCCCATGAAAACTGCGGTTGCACTGAGTCTGTTCAGCTTCTCGTCTGTTTCTGACAACCAGTCTAGTCTTCCATTTTTTTCCCCAGTACTACTTGTATGTTTATTATTCAAAAGCCAGGAGATTCCTTAATATTTTTTTTTTATTCCAGAACACATATTCTAGGTCAGTTGCTAACTATATCAATTTTATTCAAAATGATAAATGGGGAATTACTTTAATTGAAATATTTAATTATTATTTAAATAATAGGCTGTTAAAGAAAAGCAGTGGATCTGTGTTGCTAACAAGGTTTCACATTCAGTAGACACTAAGGGTATTCAGGTCTGAAAACATAAGGCAATTTGATTTATTCACCATAATGACCAAATATCTCTCTATTATATGAATTATACTGCTTACATGTCCATGAAACGTGATAGGCAAACACCATTACATACCTTTAAAAGTGCATAATTAGGCTGAATATAGGTCAATCCCACACAGAAATGGACACAGGATGCAAATAGTGTTTATTTTATTTTAGAGTATGCATAGTTAATACATACCTTAAATACTTAAATACTGACTTTAAACCTTATCTAAATCCTTTGAATTATGAAAGAAAAAATGGTGGGTCTTGGCAAGGGCAACTGCTGACCTGTGGACACTGCTAATGGACCGACAGATGAGCAGGAACTGACCCCAATCTGAGTCACCTCTAGTTGCACCCCCTGACTCTTGGCACTGTAGTGAAACCTGTTTGTGTAGTTTCCCTGGAAAAGGACAGCTTACCTGTGTGTTCTGATGTTTTTCCTTTATGCACTTTGTGTTTTCAGAAGATTTGTTTAGTTTTGATTCCTTTACACTTTTACACAAAGCACAGAACATTTGCATGGCAGAATTGTTTACACATGGATCAGAAGGTGAAAAAAATCTATTTCATGCTGCCAAGAACCTCTCTTTATCAAGAACATTTTCTTCTGAGCTTATTTTCAGGTTTTACTTGTTATCTCAATTCATTGCAAATCACTGAATGATTTATTGTTACACGACGTTTGTATTTTTCAAAGATAATGAAAGGATTTTTCTGAACAAATATATATATATGAGAGAATGGGTCATATTTCTTTTAGTTTCTCCTCAAAATGGTATACATTACTGGAAAACAACATCTGCTTTATATAGATGGAGCTGTTATCAATATGGTTAACAAAGCGAATTGCAACACACGTGATGAAATTGTTTCACATGCTGTAATATTGTGAAACTGTTAAACTGAGGGAGATGAATGGCAACAAGTTCAGTTCAGTTTTATAACCCAAAATGTCTAGGACTCAGAGCTTTAAAAAATTGTTCTTTCTTGACTGACATACAAACCTAGAAAATTGTTACAAGCACAAGTATGCACTTACACATTTTAACAGACTTTTGTCCTCCAATTGTTTTACAAAACAATCTTTACTTTAAGTGAATAAATAAAAGTACTAAAGTGTGTGCTGAAATACAATTTGTTTAGGTTACTTTAACCTAAATCATATTGACACTTATACAAATTCAAATACTTTAACAGAAAAGCTCTGTTTAGTGATTGGTTGATTTAAACTAAACCAGTTTTATAAAAAGGTATGCATGTAAAATGCCTTTACTTTTTAAAAGTAGATTTAGAAACATTTTGTTTTCTTTTCAGTTGTAAACAGGACCACTGAAAAGGTTATCAGCTGTCATACTTGTAACAAATATGTTACACTTAATTTCTAAACAACAGAAAAAAAAACACTTCCCAGAAACAAAATTTGGAGCTAAAATTTCTGAGTTTCTGAATTAAATCACAATAAACCAGTGGTTATTTTCTGCATCTTTTGAATTATAAAAGTAAACTTTTTGACACTACCAATATATCTTCAAAGCCACGATTATATAAAAAAACACCTTACCTTTTAGTAAGTAGCAGTAGTGAAAGAGACCAGTCATTTACTTCGAATACTCAAGCTTAGTGCTCGGATACTTTGCAGTATGCTTCATCTGACTCTAATTATTAACTATTTACTGACATAAGCCCTGCAAAGCAAACTAAAAAAAAAAACATGATGTCCCTTAATTCATCGTGAAAACAGCAGCTTGTACTTTCTCATTTCTTAAGTAAATTATTTGAGAGGATTTTGTTTACCTTTGCACACACACATGTGATGCCACATATTTTCAGATTCAAACCTCCTAGGTCCTGCCACTTAACAATGACACACAGATCACGTGGTTTAAAAATAGCAACTAAAAAGAACGCTTCTAATATTATTTACTAATTCACAAGTCCTCCAGAACTCTTTTTAGTTTCCAGATTCTGAAAATAAATGATAAGACCTCTGAAGTATACAGAACAAAGGGAATCTGGCTGAAATCTTAAAAATATTTTTCCAGTTATTAATAATGCATTGCAGTTGTATTGTGCCTTCTATCCCAAAGTGCTTTATATACAGCAGAAAACCCTCTTCCTCCACCACTGATGAATTTCTGAAAACGTACCTGAGAAGGCATGACACAAGCTGAGAGACAAAAATGTGCCAAAACAAACTTCCTTCATTTTCTATTCAAGGCAGCTCTTCTGCAGTCAGTACGTGCGATTTCTTGGACCACTCTGTAGCAACATGTCTCAGAAAACCGCAAACAAAGAGAAAGGCCTATTGTGAGTCAGGAAGAGGGAAAATGGGCTGGGAAAACAGTAAAAAACAAGGAGCAGCCACTGCTAGAGACAGAGGTTGGAAATTCCCTCTTTTCAAGGACTCTCTACAGTACCTTTTCTCCAGGAAAACTCAAATATTTTTTCTTCTCAGGATACTGCCAATTCATTTGATTGATTCCGCCACTTAAGCCTTTTCCAAAGTCTTTTTGCAGACTTTTTCCATTCTTGTACTTCCATCCCTACAAAGTCCCAGAACTACTTTAAAGCTTGATAAACCCTGCGCAACAATGTGTGGATAACCTTACACGTGATACATGTTTTTCATAATTCTAAATGTGCATTACTGTAGGTATTATATATGAACATCTGCAGGTGCTTACTAATTCCTTCCTACTTCTTAAATCACATTGTATGTAGAGAAAGGGTTCACCTCAAACAGAATGCAAAGTATTTCTTCACTTTTAAAAACTTTTAGTGAAATGTTCTGTGGAGTACTCATTTGGATTATTATCATTGGAATAGTGAAAAAAATGGAGTATTAAAGGCACTTCTGAATTACATTTTTTATAGTGGAAGCAGTTCTAGCAGGGGCTCTGCAAACACAAAATATCAGTAGCAATATTGGAAACAGTTCAGAACTGGGAAAGAATGTGTTTTAATTAGCAGGATCGACACAGGGTGGTACAGACATTTGGATGCAGAAAGCGGCTTTGCTCTGAAAACATGTTTAAATGTTACGATTAAAGCATAGATTAAAGATTTTTCTTAACTGATTTGTTTGCGGTTAAAAAGGCTTTTATTTAATTCATGCACACACTGCTTTTCTGTTTCATAGAAGTTGTAGTCTTCCAGGGAGCAGGAAGGATTGAGAAGGATTATTTTAAGAATCTTACACAAATGGAGACTGTAACGCAATAAAAAGAAAGCCATGCAAGTAAGTATCATTCTATCCTGTGGAAAAGTAAGACATGGATATTGATGATGCAGTGCAGTTTCATAGCAGAAACCAAGATGTTTTTTAATTTATTTTTGTGAAACAGTTAATGATTTGCTATAGTTATTTTTTTCTTCATGATTTACTTGTAGTGTGCCTTGTCTTGTTAGTGTTGCTGTCTATTCATTTTGCACCTTAATGTTTACAGCGTATTTGAACAATATCACATTTTTGTTTGTTTATTGTGTGCAATAAAATTCCATTTTTATTACATGACTATTTGAAATGCTTTTAAGTAAAAGCATGTGAATGCAATATCTGTTCATCTACTTAACAGATGGCAGGAACTCTGGAGTTATTACTGCCTTACTGTTAAAAAATGCAGTCTTACTGCTACATTTTGTTTATGAAGTGGACTTTGACTTTCAAGGCAAAAACATACTTTCAAAGCACTTTGACGGTGAAAAGTAAAAGCTGAGATTGTCAATAAATCAAACATTCAAGACAATAGAAAATATTCTGTCTTACATTTATTAACAACATTTGTGATATTAGATGTTGGGTTTACAGTGGTGATATCTGCATAAAGAAGATGAAAAGGAATTTTAATCTGTTCTGTAATTATTTGTGAGTTGGACTCATGCTGGTATCACTGACAGCACTACAATGAATTGCTGCCAAAAGAACATTGCCCTCTAAACTGTTTTCTAATAAGCTTCCCAGCATTATATTATTTATAAATGCAGTTCGGTCTAAATCTAATACTGTCCAATCAAGCAGAAGAACAAAAAGGGAGTTCTTAATTCTTAGGTTTAAGTCACCTGGCTGAGGAAATGACAGTGCTGGTCAGTGATCATGTTTGTACAGTGCATACTGTAGTGCACAGTGAGGTTTAATTCTATTTCAAAGACTAACACTCACTGGATTGCGGTTATAGTTATTGCTTTGAAGCTCATGCAACACTCATGGTTTCTTCACATTATGTAAGGATCTTTTTAGAAAACAAATGGACACTACCTGGTCTGTTTTTAGATGTCAGAATTGTTGTTGGTGGTTATTTTCTGCCATTTTCGGAATTAAATAAAACAACATAATATTAAATTATTGTGGAAAGCTTCAGTGTTTCCTTGTGACAGTGATGGTAGTGTGGAAAGATGCACTATTCACTGTAGAGAGACAGCTGAAAAGACTGAGAAAGACACGAGATACTGTATTGAGCATCTACTGGACACTGGACACAGGGACATACAGGGAGAACTTCTCTGCTTTTATAAGAGTTTCAAACCAAATGATGTTTACTTAGTTGTGGTGGGTGTGAAACACACTGATCAAAAGAATCTGGGTAAATTATTCAGAGTGTCAAAAGTGTAGGATATAAGATCAAGGCAGAACAGGGTAAAAAGGATAGTGACCACAGGAGAGACCACAAGAGATAGAGGAGACAAAGATGTCCTTCCTTGAGATCATCCAAAAAGATCTGATTGGATTTCTATATTTGAACCTGCTAAAGAGAGCTTGTTATTCTGTTTAGGGAAGGTCCTGAGTGAAAAATTACCTTTCCTGCTTGGTGGATGTATTTTTAGACTAGGGAGACAGGCTCTCATTTATTTTGTGGCATCTGGGTTTGCAGAGAGAGACTTTCAGCAGCCATATCACCCTGTAACTCACAACTGGCAACCCACTGAAGATCAGCAGGTGTGAGCCTGATCAGTACCTGGATGGAAGACCTCCAGGGAAAAACTAGTTTTACTGCTGGAAGAGGTGTTAATGAGGCCACCAGGGGGCGCTCACCCTGCAGTTTATGTGGGTCCTAATACACCAGTATAGTAACAGATTTCTATCCACCAAGCAGGAAAGGTAATTTTTCACTCAGGACCTTCCCTAAACAGAATAACAAGCTCTCTTTAGCAGGTTCAAATATAGAAATCCATCCTTCGGATAAGACGTAAAACTGAGGTCCAGACTCTCTGTCATTAAAAATACCTGAGCGTTTCTCAAAAAGAGTAGGGGTGTAATCCCAGTGTCCTGGCCAAATTTCCCATTGGCGCTTACGAATCATGGCCTCCTAATAATCTGTCAGTGAATTGGCTTCATCACTCTGTTCTCCTCCCCACTGATAGCTGGTGTGTGGGGAATGTTCTGGCGCACTATGGCTGCCGTCGCATCATCCAGGTGGGCCTGTACATTGGTGGTGGTGGAGAGGATCCCCATTACCTGTAAAGTAATTTGAGTGGGGATCTCATCCAGTCACTGCCTGATAGAAAGCTCCTTCAACAACATGGCTTGGTACAGTAGCTTGTTAAAGTCTCAGAGCCAAACCTGTTGTGTAAAAAAGTGCTTCCCATTCTCCGTTTTAAATACACTCCCCCATAGTTTCCACTTGTATCTTTTTGTTTGTGTTTCACTCTTGATTCTAAAGACATTTGTTTGAGTTAATACCTTTGATTATTCAATACTTGAATCAGGTCCCATCATAGAATTATCTGTTCAAGACTGAAAAGATTACAGTTATTCAACCTGTCAGTCTAGGACATCCCATTGGACTGACTCCGGCCATGTTGATGAAGCTGGTACCCCAGCTTCTTTCAAGAAACAGCTGGATAAGATCTTCAACTTCAATCAAAGAATCTAGATGGGCCAAATGGCCTCCTGTTGTTTGTTACCTTTCTTAATTTCTTATGTTCAGAGCTATCTGTTTTGTACTGTAGTGAAAAAAATGTCAGAAATTACTTAGTTGTGCATTATACACTTTTAACACAACATCTCTTGATTTAAGGACAGAAGAGCGGAGGCCTTTCCACCCATCTAGCCCCTTTGGTAGTTTGTAATTAATACATCCAAGGACCTCATGCAGCTGCTTCTTCAAAGATGCCAGAGTATCACTTTCTGCGGCCAAAACCTGCCAGAATAGCAACCTACCTGTTAGGAGTTCCAGGCGGTCCAGGAGGTCAGCCTCGGTCCCTTTAAGAGGCCATTCCTCTCACCTAATTAGCTGACCAATCTACTGATCGCATCTCCACCACACCCTCACTCCAGGTTCACTTGAGCTCAGCCAGTGCCTCCTTCTACGCTCAGTATTTTAAAAATAATAATAATAAACTTTATTTTATATAGTGCCTTTAAAGGTGGCTTCTCAAAGCGCTTTACAGGATGACAACAACAATAAATAAGAAGAATACACAAGATAAAACACAATAACAATATATAGAGGAGACCGTGGATGGTGGTACTAAGAAAAGCAG